AGTGGATTGAGCACCAGACTGTGAACCAAAGGGTTGCTGGTTCCATTCCCAGTCAGGGCACATGCTGTTGGACTTCTTGTACAATACACACTGTCATGCACACAAACCAGTTCTTATCATTCTTTACATTCGTGTTTCTTCTATTTGGTGTATGTCCACTGTTAATAAATCATGTTGTTGAAAACAAGGTAATTTTGATGGCTTACTAAAAGAAATAGTTTTAAATGCCTCTATTGCATTTTGTATTTAAGTGTCTTTGGCAGATAGCCCATTTACCCTAAAAACTTTATAGAAAGAAATATTTGAAACAAGAGGATATTTGATAAAGTAGCAATATGTTTCATAAACAGTAATATTTAATGAAAGGTCTTGTAGAAAATTACATATAATTTTGTTAAGTGCATTTCTCATGGTTTTGATAAAATCATAATTGTGTATGATATAGCACTTTATGAGTTATTAACCTTATATAACTTATAATTGATTCCGAACTCAATCCCTTTGCTTTTCTTGGACTCTGGGAAGATATTTAAAAATTCTTTTCTGTGTGTGTGTGTGTGTGTGTGTGTGTGTGTAAGTAAGTAAGTAAACATGGAGCAGTCTGCCTGAAATGACAAGCGTGAGTAGGTTAGCTGGTAACAGCTTATCTGTAGCTGCTTGTGAGGAGGTTGTAAACACTGGCATTCCTACTCATGTGGTAGAACAGCTTTCCCTCGGCAGATGAAAATGGTCCACATTTTTAAATTGCTTGTCTATTTGGGGGCCTTAACCTTATTCAGCCTATTTATTTGTAGTGGGCCAGCAATATTTCATGTGCAGATGATCTCTCTCAGTATCAGTAGGAAATGCACGGTGGAGGATGGGCTGATGATCCATATTTCTTGACCACAGATCAGCAGAATACAGCTTGGAAGAGGTAGCTGAACAGGCCAAGAGAAAGATGACTTCTTCTGACCCTCTATAGTCTCTGTTGAGTACAGAGTCTCAAATAATACCAGGTGTACCGGCATAGTTAATACGTATTGTTCAGTAATTTGCTATGTGACTAGTGAACAAGATTAGCAGAAAGGGAAATCCAGGGTAAAATGTGCAGTTTTCAAGCACGTAGAATTTTGCCTGCATGCTCTGTTGTGCTATTTCTTTTATTATTGTAATTTTCTAGATGGAGAACAACCTTGATTTCCTGTTGTTGTGTACCAGAAGAAATGATTACCCAATCTCATGTCCACTAAAATTATTCAAGTTAGAAAGACATTAGCCGTACTTCGAGAATGTCAATTATCTCTACCATAAATTTATATTTTTGTTACAATTAAGAAACATGTTAAGGATTCATCAGAAAGTACAAAGAATAACATAAAGACCACCCTGTAGCCAGTCACCATTTTGTCAAATCTTAACATGTTGCCGTATTTGCTTTCAAAATGTTTTCAAAAGAAACTGAGTAATGCAAACCTGCAGTGCACTTTTACTACATACACATGCATACATACATAATGCATAGTATTTTGTATATAAGTTTTGAAACTTTTTAAATTTTTATTTCTTTTATTGTTGTTCAAGTACAGTTGTCTCCATTTTCCCCTCACCAAGCTCCCCTGTCTCACCCACCTCCACCTTCTACCTTCAAGCCTACCCCTTTGGCTTTGTCCATGGGTCCTTTATACATGTTCTTTTGTGGCCCATCCCTTATTTTCCCCCAGTATCCCTCTTCTCCCTCCCCTCTGGTAACTGCTGGTTTGTTCTTTATTTCACTGTTTCTGGTTGTATTTTGCTTGCTTGTTTGTTTTGTTGATTAGGTTCCACTTATAGGTGAGATCATATGGTATTTCTTTTTTACCACCTAGCTTATGAAACTTTATAAATTATATTACTCCAGACCAGGGACTTTTTATAAGTTATATTACACTGGACACTGGTGTGCTGCAAGAATTTTTAAATTATCCATAGCTGACTATTTAGTCAGGGTCACTGACCTCTTTTCCCTTAGATTGTCAAATAGAAAAAATGACAACAGCCAACATAACAATAGCTGTCTGGTGTGAACAAATCAAAATTATACCTGTTTTTTTGGTCAGATCGGCCAAAATATAATATGTGTTTTGGTGTGCCACAAAATTTTTGTGATTAGTATATATGTGCCATGATAGGAAAAAGGTTGAAAATCGCTGCTTTGGACCTGTTATTCCCCAACTTGTTATTATCATTCAATTTTTATGGTTTTGCCATTTATCTATGTTGCTAGATGGGGCTTTAAATTATTCATTGAAATTGCTCACAGTATTTCATCATAGAATGTGAGAGGTTAAATCAACTGTACAGTTAGGGGGTACAGTTGCCACAAAACTGCCCACACTTCTGACACCAACTGCAAGCTTAGGGGGTTTCCCAAGTGCTGTCAGTTTCAATGGTTCACTAGAAGGATTCCCAGGCCTCATTAAAAGCTCTTACAGTTGCAGTTACACTTTATTACGGCACTGGAGATTGGCTGAAATCAGTCATGGGAAGAAGTACATTGGTTGGAGTGTGGGAGGGTTCTAGAAGTGGAGCTTCCAGCTGTTCTCTCTCTGAGGAATGAGGACAGTGTCACCCTTCTGGCCAAGTGTGGCCCAGTATGTACAAAGCATGGCCACAGGGAAGTTCATGAACTTCAGTGTCTAGAGTTCTGAGCAGAGCTCCATCACTCAGGCATGACCAATGGCCCAAGGGGCTGGCTGATCTCAGCTTCACTAGATACATGTTGACTGACAGCACGTGACCCACAGCCTGCAGCCTCAGTCATGTGTTGGCTTGTTTGGCATGGCTAGTACCCACCCTAAGACTGTCTGATAAGGTCACCTTGTTAGACTGTCTGGTAACCCAAGGCACTCATTTCAGGATTGGCAGTTCAAGGACTTAGAGAGCACCTCCCCGAATCTGAGGAGAAAGGTCATACCATTTTAGGGCCAGCTAAAATTCTTTCTTACACATATGAATATAGCCCATTTTATTTTGTCCATTCTTCCCTTGATGGACATTTGGGTCACATGTGATATATTGGGTCACCTGTGATGTGTGTGTATGCATGTGTGTGTGTGTGTGTGTTTGTATATATGTATATATATATAAATTTAATAAATGCTCATGTAATTCTTACGGTGTGCCAGGTACTGTTTAGCTTCTTTTTTAATGATAACTCATTTAATCCCCAGAAGAATCCTTTATGAGGTAAATTCTATTATTCTTATCCTACCCATAAAAAAATAGGATACAGAGATGCTAAGTACCTTGTTCAACATCACACAGCCAGTAGATGGAATAGCTCCAATATGAGCTCAGGTAGTCGGAATCTTTCCTCATAAGCTCTATGCTAGGCTGTCTAAAAACAATGAGGCAACAAATATTTTTCTACCATCTTCTTGTCTATACATACAGTAGGTTCTGTAATATCACTGACAGTAGAATTGGTGCACTGCACATGTGTGCATCTTCAACTTCATTTGATACTTCCAGATTGTTATTCAAACTGATATAAGATATTTGCAGGTATCTTTCCTGCTCTGCGGCTTTTCTTTTCACCCCTTTTGTTTCCTAGATGTTCACAATTTTAAACTGCTTAATTTGCTCTATTTTTTAATGATTTTAATTTCTGCATCTTCTTTATGAAACATTTCTTTCCCCAAACCCCTAAATATATCCTCCTTTATTTTCTTTTAGAAGTTGTACCTTTTGTATTTGTACCTTTCATCTACCTGGAATTGATTCTGAATATGGTGTAAAGCAGGGATATAATTATTTTTTCTATATTGTCTGAAAACCATTTTTTAGGGGTCCATTTTTTCCCCCACTGGCTCTAGGGAAAAATCTGGTCTTGCCTTTTCCAGTTTCTAAAGGCCACTTTTCATGGTATATTACTGCACACAGTTTCTTGGGTCATGTAGTAATGTAATTTCAAACCCTCAGTCTGTGTGAGGGCAAACTACTGATTATACATACAGAGGTATAATCTTCTTCCACCCAGGGCTTTAAACAGTTTTTTTTTTAATTTTCTCCCTCTTGTAGTAAGTGAATTTTTTCTCTACATCACCTTTTCACTGTGTTGTAGTCCTTTAAGGATTGAGATATGATGAGAGTATTTGCAATTTCTTTCCTATTCCCTGCTTTGTTTAGAACCTAAGGCCTCCCCTTGCCCTGGGTAGGCATTAAAACCCAAGCCCTTAGATTCATGAGACAGGCTAATCCCTTAGAGCTTCCGCAGCTTGTGTCCTGTGGTTGCTGCTCTAGTTTCAGTTCTGTTTAGTTTTTCCTCACTTTTATGATATGCACAATCACTAGGGGCCCCTTCCTTGTTTCCTCCTTCACACTTGTGTGTTTGGTCACTTCTTTTAGGTGGGGGGGACTCTTACACATCACATTCTTTTTTTGTTTGTTTTTATTTTTAATTAATTTATTTTTTAAATTATTTTTCAACTACAGTACGTTCTTTTTTAAAAAGATTTTATTTATTGATTTTTAGAGAGGGGAAGGGAGGAAGAGAGTGAAACATCAATGTGCTGTTGCCTCTCGCACACCCTTACTGGGGTCCTGGCCCACAACCCAGGGATGTGCCCTGACTGGGAATTGAACCCGCAACCCTTTGGTTAACAGGCTAGCACTCAATCCACTGAGCCACACCAGCTAGGGCACATACATCACCCCTTGGTGCTATTTGTACCCCGTGTATCTTAGGCAGTCAGTAGGTGGTTTGGAGGGGGGTATAGCTAACTTTTCCTTCAGGGTACTTTTGGTTTGGTCACAATTCTACACTTCCACATAGTGTTATTAGCAGTAGGACTTCCGATGTGTCAAAATATTACCAGTTTACCTTTGAGTCATTAATACCACGGCAGGAACAAAAATAAATTATCAAAGTCCTTTTTCTGAGACATCAATTATTAAACGAAAGATATTTAAAAGAATATAATTTTAACTTAATTTTCAACTCAAGAATCCTAATTCTCATTTTGTCATTCTCTTCCTAGGATGTGTGCCGTATTTGGTGGAATCTACTGTCTTCGCCATTCAGTGCAGTGCCTTGTTGTGGACAAAGAATCCAGAAAGTACGTGTGATATAAGTTACCTTCCTATATTTAAACCCCAAGCACAGGTGAAAAATGCTAAAGTCAGTTTTTAAAAAGTGATTCTTCAAAGATCCTCCTTGGTGTTAATAACATATCAACCTTGATTAAAAGTAATTTGTGTTTAGATCCTCCAGAACAAGGAAAGTGAGTTCAGAATATAGAAACTAAATTAATTTCCCTGTAATATGACTATAGCTGCTGACCAACCAAGCATGGAAGATAGATCATTCCAGCTGCCGAGGGTGGGTGATGAGTGATTTTCGTTTTCCTTGTGGCCTTACCTCCTCTAATTGATTTTCATCAGATGACAACAAAGCCCTCTGTTATTGCATTTTTTAAAATGGAGCGTACCTAAAGACTCATCAGATTAATCTCTGCTGATAATGCATGTCACTCCAAGAGAAAAGATTTTAATGAGTTTTCAGGTAGATTGTTGTCATAAACTACACTGCCCTGTTATCTGAGGCTAAATTCTCTTATGGCCATATCAGGCCTGCAGGCTGCTTTAGGATTAAAGTTAGAATGTCCATGCTTTTTTTAAAAGGTGACCATCATCTATTTATCTGTGTGTTTTCATATTTAAATTATATTTTTCTGGGATTTATTATTTAGTGACTAAGATATGCTCTTGTCTGAATTACACTAGGGTGTCTTTGATTATTATCTTGTACCTTAAAACTTAAATGGCTCAATTGTATAAAATTTTAGGATCTCCTGAAATTTTTTTTTGTTATGCGTTCATAAGCATCTACTGACCTCTGTCTATTATATGACTTCTTTAGTGTATATAAAGAAATTGCTATTCATTCCAAATTTGAGAGCCTTGTATTTCTTTCTCTTCCTGGATTGCTCCAGGACCTCCAGTACTGTGTTGAATGAATAACAGTGGTGACAGTGGACATCCTTGATTGTATTTTCTTTAGGATCTTTGCATCTCTATTCAATAATCAGAGATACTGGTTTGTAGGTTGTGTGCGTGTGTGTGTGTGTGCGCGCACGTGCGCGCACGCATATGCACACTTTCTTTGCCAGGTTTTGTATCAGGGATATGTTGGCCTCATAAAATAAGCTAGGAAGTAATGCCTCTTCATTAAAATTTTTAGAGGAGTTTGAGAAGGACACATCTCCCTTCAGTGTTTGCTAGAATTTACTAGTAGAGCCATCTGGTCCTGGACTTTTCCTTTTAGGGAGATTTTTGATCATTGTTTCCCTTTCCTCTCTATTGATTGGTCTATTTAGGTTTTCTAGTTCTTTGTGATTCAGTCTAGGAAGGTTATATATATATATATATATATATATATATATATATCCATTTCTTCTAGGTTACTGAATTTAGTGGCATATAGTTCTTCATAGTATGAGCCTTCCTAATTCTGTGATGTCTGCAGGAACTTCTCCTTTTTATTTTCTGATTTTGTTTATATGAATTTGTTCTTTTTTTTTTTTTTTTAGTTTAGCCAGGAGTGTGTTAATTCTATTTATTTATTTTTTAAATGACCTTTTTTTAGATTTTATTTAGTTATCTTTAGAGGGGAAGAGAAGGAGAGAAACATCAATGAATGGTTGCCTGTCATGTGTCCCCTGCTGGGAACTGGCCTGCAACCCAGGCATGTCCTCTGACTGGGAATCAAAACCGCGATTGTGTGGTTCACAGGCCCGCGCTTAATCCACTGAGCTACACCAGCCAGGGCCTATGTGTTAATTTTATTAATCTCTTCTAAAAACCAGCTCTTTGTTGTATTCATTTTTTGTATAGTTTTTTTTGTTTTGTGTTTCAGTCAGTTCTGCTTAAATTTATATTATTTTATTTCTTCTGCTTACTTTGGGTTGCTTCTGTTCTTTTTCTATTTCTTTAAGATGCAGTGTTAGGTTGTTTGTCTGAGTTTGGTTTTTTTTTTGAACTAGGACTATCACTGCTTTCACTGCATCCCAGAAGTTTTGATGTGTCATATTGTCATTCTCACTGGTCTCTGTATATCTTTTGATTTCACCTTTTATTTTTTCTTTGACCCAGTCATTTTTTTCATAGCATGTTTTACATCTCCACATATTTTGGGGTTTTTCACTTCCTTTTTGCAGTTGATGTTTGATTTTGAAGCATTGTGGTAGAGAATATGTCTTATGATTTCAGTCTTCTTCAATCTGTTGAGACTAATTTTGTGACCCAAAATACGGTTTGTCCTTGGATGTTCCATGTGCATTAGGGAAGAATGTATATGCTGATGTTCTGGGATGAAAATTCTGTAAATGTCCATTTCGTTTATTTGGCCTAAAATGTGGTTTAAGGCTGATATTTCACAAATTTTTATATAGAAGACCCTAAAGACACCAACCACCGAAAAACTGTTAGAAACAATAAACAAATATAGTAAAATTGTAGGATAAAAAAATTCATGTACAAAATTCCACTGCATTCCTATATGCTAACAATGAAATTTCAGAAAAAGAAATTTCCTTTTACAATTGCAACAGAAAGAAGAAAATACCTAGAAATAAACCTACCCAAGAATGTGAAGGACCAATAATACTAAAAACTACAGAGCATTATTAAAGTTGAAAACAGCACAATGAAGTTGAAAGATATTCTGTGTTTATGGATTGAAAGAATAAACATAGATAAAATATCCATTTACCCAAAGCAGTAAACAGATTTAATGTAATCCCCATCAAAGTCCCAATGACATTTTTTAAAGAAACAGGAAAAAGTATCACATTTGTATGGAACCACAAAAGGCCCTGAATAGCCAAAGCAGTCCTCAGGAGAAATAACCAAAACCATAGGCATCACACTCTCTGACTGTAAATTATACTACAGAGCAACAGTAATCAAAACAGAATGGTATTGGCAGATAAACAGACACACCTGCTAAACAGATAAACAGACACAATGGAACAGAATTGAGAGCCCAGAAATAAACCCACATAAATATGGCCAAATAGTTTTGTACAACTGGAGCCAAAACCAGTACAATGGAGTAAAGAAAGCCTCCTCAATAAATGGTCTTGGGAAGATTAGAAAACTTCATGCAAAAGGATGAAACTAGACTACTGTTTGTCCCCATATACAAAGATTAATTCAAAATTGATCAAGGACATACATAGAAGACCTGGAACAATAAATTACATAGAAGAAACTATAGGTATTAAATTTACAGACCTGAGTTATAGAAAACATTTTTTTATCTTGACCTGAAAGGCAAGGAAAGTAAAAGCAAAAATAAATGAATGGGACTATATCAACTAAAAAGCTTCTGCACAGCAAAGGAAACTGTCATCAGAATAAGGAGCTAGCCAACCAAATGGCAGAGGATATTTTCAAACAAAAACTCCAATAAGGGGTCATTATCCAAATTATATAAAAGTCAACACCAAACAGTAAGTCCAATTAAAAAATGGGCAGACACTTCTCCCAAGAAGACATACAAACAGCCAACAAATGTATGAAAAAATGTTCAGCTTTGGTAGCTGTTGGGGAAATGCAAACCAAAACTACAATGACATACAGCTTCACACCTGTTAGAATGGTCATTGTCCACAAGACAGCTAATAACAAGTGTTGGCAAAATTGTGGAGAAAAAGGAACCCTCACTCACTGCTGGTGGGAATGTCAACTGGTACAGCCACTGTGGAAAACAGCATGAAGGTTCCTAAAAAAATTGATAATAGAGTTACCATATGACCCAGAAACCCTGATCTGGTCTCTACCTGGAAACCTTGAAAACCTGTGTTCTCAAAGACATATGCACCCCTGTGTTCAGTGCAGCATTACTCATGGTGGCCAAGGCATGGAGACAACTGAAGTTTCCTTCCATAGAGGACTGGATAAAGAAGATGTAGTACATGTATAGAATGGAATACTAGTGAGCCCTAAGAAAAGATGAAATACTGCCATTTGCAATAGTATGGATAGACCTTGAGAACAACATGCTAAGAGAAATAAGTCAGACAGAAAATGTTAAGAGTTATATGATTTCACTCTTATGTAGGGTATAACCTGAATGCAACAAGTGAACAAGCAAGAAAAACAAAAACTCACAGACAGCAGTATGGTGGTGACCAGAGGGAAGGGGGTGGGGGTAGTAAAGGGTAAAGGGGTCAAATATACGGTGATGGAAGATGCTGTGGCTGTGGTAGGTGAGCACACAGTGCAATATACAGATCATGTCTCACAGAAATGTACACCTGAAGCCTATATAGTCTTATTAACCTGTGTCACCCCAATACATTTAATAAAAAATAAAAGAAATTGTTCATTCAGAAAATAACTTTGATATGTTGAACTGGAGGCTTAAACACGTATGTTTTAAGCTATTTCTTCCATTTTACAATAGTTGTCTATAGCCTGAGTGGCATAAAATGTTTATTACCCTTGTGTGAAATACTTTAATTTAATGAGTAGTGTTTTAAGATACAGTGGAGGAAAATGTCAACCCTTAAATTTGTAATATTTAGACAATGGATTTGCTTTAGAAAAGTAATTCTGCAATATAATTTAAAATACACACGTGGTTTAAAGGCTTGTAAAGTACTTTTAGCACTTTAACAGAAAGGTACTGCATAAATGAAATGTAAAAAATCTATCCCTTGAAGGCCCAGGATATTCATATATTGGCTTATGAGGAGCTCTGTGGAGGTTCATGAAGGAATCGTTGTCCTTATGACTTTCAGAGTTATTTTTCCTTGTGTTTTCATTTCGAAGCATGAGTATGTTCCCATGACAGAAAGCCTGATAATGAATTGCTTGTTTGGTGTTTATTTACTTAGATCCTTTTACCTTTTTGGGCCCTGTTCCAGCCTTACATGTTACTCTTAGTGACACGAAGCATTTCCATGGCTCTCGTTTATCTTTTTAAAAACTGGATACATTAGTACACTAATAGCATTCATTGAACAAAGGCTACATTTACCTCAACACTGACTTCGTTTTTATTAAAAACTGTGAACATTGGAACTCTTTTTTATGATCTGCTGCGGATTTC